ATTAAAAATGCATCGAAACCTAAAAATCGAAATATCTCAAAAACGGCTAACTATAATGAAAATTCACAAGAAAGCTTTTTTATGTTGAAAAGTGCGAAGAATCAGTTTTTTTATTCAAAAAGCAAAAAATTGCACTAAGAAAAAATTTTCGGTCATTTTAATACACTACAGGTACAGTAGAGAGCGCCCTCTAGCGGCTACAGTAAAACTATGCCCATGGTTCGTTTTGTCGTACCAAAAAACCCTTGTATACCAATTTTCACTGTTATACATCAAATATTGTTCGAAATATTTAAAAAAAACTATTTTAGAAAGTAAATTTAAACACCCTGTATTTCGGAAGCCACGCATTTTTCGACCCATGTTTATATAGACTTTATGCATTAATTTTAAAAGTTCTATCGAATCTTAAAGTTATGCAACAATAAACTGAAACAGCCTGAATAAAACTTTTATTAGAGAACAAAATGATTTTTGCAGATTTTTCAGGTGATCTTTAAATCTAAGCTGAGAATCTAAAACTATACCGAGATTTTTTGTACTGTCAACAGAATTCAATTTTGAATTATTAGCCATTATATTGAGATTAGCTTTCAAAAACTCAGTCATAGATTTGTTACCAAAAATCATTATATGCGATTTTTCCGGATTAATTTGTAAGTTGTGACCTAATGAGAGATTGTTCAAGGTGTTAATGTCCTCATTTATACAATTTTCGTAATATTTGTAATCCTCAATATCAAAAAAACAATAAACCTGGGCGTCATCCGCGAAGGCCTGAACTTTACAAAACTTTAAAGAGGTAAGGATATCAGATGTATAAATTAAAAATAACAACGGGCCCAATATTGATCCCTGAGGAACTCCCGATAGGATCTCCGCTTTGTCTGAGAATGTGTCATTTGATAGAATCGATTGATACCTTCCTGTCAAATATGATTTTAAAAGCAAACATGCTTCCTTATTAAAGCCATAGTACTGAAGTTTAGCTACCAACAATTCATGATTAATGGTATCAAAACACTGTGGTCTAAGTGATGTAGCACGGTGTCCAGTTGATGCGTGTTGTACGAGCTGAGAAATGAGTAAGACTGAATTCTGTTGTAATAAGTATATCACCTATGTAGATTAGAAAAGACGTACCTCTGTTTCCGAAACTTCTATGAATGGGGTATCTGTTGTATTAAAATCTTCTATAGTTGCCGTAGTATTTTCCTCATGTTCTGCAGTATATCCTAGAGATGAGTTTGACTCATTGTAATACGAAGTCGTCGTCGTGGTATAGTTTTCTTCCGGCCATTCTGCTACAGATGGAACAGGAGTTGTTCTTTCTAGAGGTATAAATTGAAAATTTTAAAAAATCCTTGAATTCAAACGGCTGAACAGATTTTCCTTGATACGCTTTTTATATGTTCGTTGATTTTCTAAGATTTGGCAGGAAAGTTTGGGTGCTTTTTGTTTATTCGTTTTATAAAAATAATTTTTCATGACGTACGAGGGATATCTTTTAAGTTTTGCATATAGAAACATAGTAGGCCGCGCGGATCGAACGTCAATACTGAATCTTAACCTCACTCTTTAGTAAACTTAAATTCAAAGTTTCACAACAATACGTGCAGCGTTCTCACTACAGTGAATTTTTAAGTGTCTCCAAGTCATTAGAAATATGGAACTCAACCGAGAACATTGTCGCGCCGTAATTTATTACAACTTTCAAAGACAATTATCGCAACAAGAATGCCTCGCTGAGTTACTGTCAGTTTTCGGCAACGAAGCGCCAAATCAGTCGACAATTTCTTTTTTTTTGTTTTTTATACTCCAACTTATACAAAATTTTATTAAAATAAAACCATTTAAACTGGATGTTCGGATTTATATGTCACTTAGTATATTTCCATATGCAAAACTTAAAAGCATCCCTCGGACATGTCATAGTAAGCATAGTAAGAGTACCTCATATTGCATATAATTTAAAAACTACACATATGCGTTACCTCCTTTCAGTTTTGTTGTTGGTAAAGTAGGAACGCTGATAATGGCAGTCGTAGTCGTTTTTGGTTCGTTTTGATGGAGGAAGAAACATCCTGATTGCTCTCTTTCCGTAAATGACCATGTCGTGAGGTTGATGATTTGGTTTTGTTCCCTACTCAGCACCGATTCCTTCTGTTGGCAAGACTAAGAAAAAAGATTTGACAAAATTCTTGCTTAATATTTATTTTGCAGCATAAGTCCATTTATAAATAATGCAAACCAAAGCTGTCTCAATTAATACCTAAAATCACATAGGCTTTGTCTTTGATAAGAAAAAACATTGAAATACAGGGTGTGACTTTGAAGTTGATTCATTAATTTTCAGATAATGATTGTAGCAGGAAGGAACCAAAATATTTGATCGTGCGGTCTTGGAGCACCGGCATGCCCTCCCCTGTGAGGTCTTAAGTCACCTGATTCACGAGCCCTTTGTACTACATTAACAAAGGCACGAGGGGTTGGTTGCACTCGATTGGGAAACCGATTCGCATAAATCCGTGATGTCGCGTAAATAAGAATCATGTCCACAAGTTCAGCATTTTCGTAAACATGTGCCATTTTTGATTTCGTTTGAGCCACGCAACAGACACCACTATGCACTCACGCGTTACCGACTGACACTGACTGTATACAACTGAATAAAATAATTGTAAAAACATCGTTCCAAGTTCTTTCGCTTTTTTGTTTCCGATGCGATGAACCGATAAGACGGATTATATCCGTTGTTGCCAAACACGAGCACATAATATTATTATTGAGACAGGGCGGTACTCAAACTTCCAAAGGCTATAACTTTGTTACTTTAATTTTACCAGAAAAATGGTAAAGGAAAAAAACATTTCTTTTGATCAGATCTACTCACTGTTAAAATAAATGACTCAACTTCAAAGTCACCCTGTATATTATTTTCTTCAATGCTTTATTCTAACTCTGATTTTACGACTAACCTTATTAGATTTGTACACTGCAGGCCACTGATCTTCAGTGTCGTAGTATAATAGCAAATTAATATCTCCTTGGTCTTCATTATATTCAATTTCATATTCAAATTGCCCTTCTTGGGATAAAAAACAAAATCTTGCTAAAAATGCCCAATTCTGTAAAATAACGTTATAAGGTTCATAATACCGGAGTTCCAGATGAATAAAAATTGCATTGTTTCAAAAAAGTTGAAGCCAGTGTCGATATTCCTCGTTTTACATTTTTATGATTCTGAACTTGAGTCTGGGCATAATTTCAAATTTTGCGACACATGTAAGCAATGTGAGTCTGTGAAAGATCACACTTTTTGGATTTTTTTTCTTATGTTAAAGGCCATAAAATATTTGTTGATAACCACAATATTTAGAATGCTCAAAGGTTAAGGCTAAGGAGGACTGTTGGACACTTTAAGAGCTTTACTATTTAAGTTCAACAACATGGAAACAAAGACAAATAATAAGAAACACATTCCTGAACGAGGCAAAATGTCGCTTGCGCATGTTTTGTATCAACAAAGCTTCAAAATCTGTTTAATTCTCGTAGTAAAGAACCTTTAAAGATACGTTTGAGGATTGATCAGAAAAAATCTTATGAGCTATGAACTTATTATAGATGTTTCACAATTTGCATGTTTCAAAGTTTATTCAAGATTTAGGCTAACCCAGTGTAGCCAAAAGTTAAAACATGGTGATGATTCAGGAGAATTTAATAACGATCTGGTTGAAAAATTGAAGCTAAATCGCGAAACTAGGAATTCTAAATTTAGCGAACATGAATCTTGAAACTACCTAAAATCCACAAATCGTAGAATCTGTAAAATGATTTTCAATTAAAAAACGAATTCAACTGTATTAATATAAAATACAAAACGTTGTGGCCTGAGTGAAAATTATATATAAAAGTTAGTACTTACCTCCCGTGTCCTTAGATATCCTTCTACATATTTACTTTCAATTTTATAAAGTAAACAACAGAAAAACAATAATAGATAATAAACAAATAACATCGTGTTGCAAATAAAACTAAGGCACAGTGAAATGGATTTGGATCGATATCACGAAGGTTGCCATGGTGTTTGTAACAAACAAACAACCCTTTTTTGGTACACATGAGGGTTGTAGGTAGTCGGACATTCATGCTTATTAATTATTAATATATTCATTGTTTTCTTAAGTAAACATTAGGTATTTGATTTCAAATAATATATCAAAAATTACAAAAAAAAAAAAAGTAATCTGTGAGAATTCTTCCCCTGCAGCTTCGATACATACGAGTTTCATTGTACTCATTTTGAATACAGTTGTCAGTGAATGACTTTTACTTATTTCATAAGCTCCAATTAGCTTATATTGTGTTTTTTAAATATTTTGCGATCTCTTTTAGATCTAGATGATATTATGTAGGGTCCCAAGTCATATGAAGTAATACAGATGCTAAATCTTTGAAAATCGGTGCGGTAGCGGCGATGTTGGAACAGCTTAACACTAAAAATGCTTTCGATCTTGACATGATCCTTTTCATCGAATTGAAGGATGTAGTGGACACCGGGGCGGGGCAGGGTACCGGGGCAGAACACGATATACCATACCATACCATATTTCTCATTCTCACTGTAAAGGCTAGATGTTACTAGCGCTCTCTGTTATCGTTTAGTAGAACGCCACGCATCGGTCGGCAACAATGAACAGATTACAGCAAACAGTTCAAAGTGTTTTCGGCCAAACGTAATGAATTTGTGCATGTGGATATAACTTTTCAGGATTTTTAATACAATGTAAGTTATTTAATTATTTGTTTTGGCGTTTTTTGTTCATTTAACTGTACACGGCATGTGTACAAGTATCTTTTGGCATATTCACGACAAAATATTAATAAAGTTCTGTGCAAAGGTTGTTTTGTTATGAGTAGCTTGTGGGCAGAACGGGTTGGGACCCCATTCTGCCCCTTATTATCAACGATCTCATTTTGATGCCTTGTGTTGCTTTCAGATGGTTCGCAATTATATTAGAAAGACCGATCGGCAACGGTGGAGTTCTGAAACTATGGAACGAGCTGTAGCTGTAGTAGTAAGTGGCGTAATGGGTAGCAAGAAAGTTTCAATTCAATTCCAGCTTCCACAAACTACATTGAAAGGATACGTGAAAAAGCGTAGGACTGACCCAAATTCTGTGATTGATAAAACCGCTGGCAAATATCACTGTATTTTTACTCAAGACCAAGAGGTAGAACTAGTTGTATATTTAAAGGATATGCAAAAGAGATTGTTTGGTTTAACATTAAAAGAACTCAGAAAGCTAGCCTATCAATTAGCGGTTAGGAATGGTTGTGAGCATCCATTTAACAAAGATACAGAAATGGCGGGAGAAGACTGGGCCCACTCATTTATGAGGCGTCATTCAGAGTTATGTTCGAGGAAGCCTGAGGCCACTTCTGGAGCACGTGCCATGGGATTTAACCCACCAGCAGTCGCGCAGTTCTTTACATTATCAAATAAAATTATTATTGAGAAAAAAATTACCTGTGAAAGAATTTATAATTGCGATGAGACTTGCATTACAGTGATTCCAAACCAGCATTCAAGGGTTATTGCAAATAGAGGACAACGTCAGGTAGGCGTATTGACTTCTGCTGAGCGTGGCAATACAGTAACAGCAGAAATTTGTTGCTCTGCTGCGGGAAATTTCATGCCCCCCCTGTTGATTTTCCCGCGACAAAAGAAGAGACAAGAATTTGAATTGGGCTTGCCACCTGGAGCTTGGATTGCGGCAAATGACTCTGGACGGATGACTAGTGTTTTTCGAATGGTTCAAGAAGTTTATTAAATTTTCTGGTGCAAAAAAAGAAACTCCCGTGCTCTTACTATTTGATGGACATGCATCTCATACGAAAAACATCGATGTAATAGATCTGGCTCGAGATAATGGCGTTATTTTAATATGTTTACCACCGCACGGTTCGCACAGCCTCCAGCCTCTAGATGTGGCATTTATGAGACCTTTAAGTCTATACTACGAAGATGAAGTGCGAAGATGGTTGCGGTCAAACCCAGGTAAGGTTGTTACTTTATTTCAAATTTCAACCTTGTTTGGACAAGCTTTTATTAACGCCGCTAATATGAAAACCGCGCTAAAAGGTTTTGAAAAAACTGGTATTTGGCCAACAAACGAGGGAATTTTCACTGACGATGACTTTTTACCAGCCGAGACAACTAATATTCCCATTGCTGAGACAGAAATTGCCCCTACTCAAGTAACTCAAGTCGATGATTTTCCAGAAAATAATTCCTTCAATGATCCCTCAACCCCACCTCCCAGAGAACTAAAGGAAACTAGCAACGAAACTCAAAATGGCTCTTTACCCTGGATGTCTGACACTCCTATTGCACCAATAAGAAAAGTGATCACCTCTAGTTGTCCAGCCGTTTCTACGGAAGCTTTTATGCCAGTACCAAAACTAACGACAACCGTTAAGCGAGTGCAGAGAAAGAGAGGCAAAACCACTATTATTACAGAGTCACCGTATAAAGCAGAGTTGACTGAGGCATTAGAAAAATCAAAGAAAAACAAAGAAAAAAATCTTTCAGGTAAGAAGCAGAAGAGGGAAACAGAAAAGATGTCTCGACCAAAAAAGCAAAAGATAATAGAAGCTAGAGTAAGCTCCGAGGAAGAAGAAGGAGAAGACACATTATGTTTATTCTGTAACGACCAATATTCAACATCAACTGAAGGTTGGATTTCTTGCATTCAATGTAAAGAGTGGGCTCATTACTCTTGTGCGGGAATAGATAATGACGACGACGAGTCAGAACTGATTTGTGACATTTGTAAATCCGAGTACCCCATCGTGCCCCGCCGACGGGGCAGAATGGAGTAAAAGACAGTTTTTGTTTAAGTTGATGACATAAAAAAACTGTTAGCCTTATTTTCATATTTGTTTGTGTTTTCATGTTTATGATACCTCAATAGATCATTATGTACCTTTTTAAATTTCTGTAACATCATTTACGCACCCAAACTTGAAATTGAATGTTACGGTTCCCATTCCACCCCGGTCTCCCCTACACTACCGTTCAAAAGTATGTGAACACCTGCATATTTACATTCAAACTTTTTATTTTTTTTATATCGATGCAGCCGCGCAGGCAGAAGCCTAAATGCCGGAACACCGCGGCTGCTATGATGATTCCAAATAAATTTTGTTAATACGACTTTTGAACTGCCTAAGGTTAGTAGAACTGGGAAAAGCTTCCTCTTGTAGATTGTTCCACAATCTCGACACCCTTAGGACAAAGGAGGGATCGTATCGGCCAGTTCTGGATGTACGAAGTTCGACACGGTAAGGATGGGACGCCAAAGTCAGGCGGGTCTGTCTGGCAGGCACATCGCGCGGCCGCATCATGGAAAAGAGCTCCGAGGACCAAAGCCCGTTGGTATAGCGGTAGAAAAGAGCTAGATCGCCGACGGTCCGCCGGTGCGAAAGAGTCCCGAGTCTATCTGTTAGAGAAGAGTCATCGATCAGTCCGATCACCGATCCCTGGGGAACACCCGCGTTGACGTTGTGGGATGCAGAGGAGAACCCGTCAATTACGACGGATATCTTGCGGCCAGAGATAAAGTCAGCCCTGCATTCTTTTCTGGGAGGCCATAGGATGGAAGTTTGCTTAAGAGGACAGCGTGCCACAGCTGATTGAACGCTTTCGTGATGTCAAGAGCAACGACTTGAGCCCCACCATAAGACTGCATGAGTTTACTCCACAATTGCGTGACGTAAGCTAGGAGGTCCCTGTGGATCGTTGGTGCCGGAAACCATACTGCCTATCGCTAATCAAACTGTGACGTTCTAGGTAGTCCAGAAGCTCGCAATTTATGGACCTCTGCATCACCTTACTTATAACAGAAAGCAGAGCTATAGGCCTGCAGTTGTAAGAGTCGATCCTTTTTTTGGGATGGGTTGGTCATGAGCAAATTTCCAGTTTTTTGGGAGGGTGCCGGATTCATAAGATATCGTGAAGAGACGCGAAAGAACTGGAGCAAGCTCCGCTGCACATCTCTTCTGTACCATGGCAGGAATCAAGTCCGGACCAGAAGCTTTGTTGATATCGAGCGACAAGAGCACTCCTCTTACGGTCTTATACCTGAATGTTACCTCTTGCATAGTGTAGGGTACCCGTTGAATTGACGGCACTTGGGCGTTGGGGGGGCACGTCCATGGTGGAGTTGGCATCAAAGATCTTGGCTAGCGCTTCCGCCTTGGCCTTTGAGTCGAATACAATAGTTCCATCCTGACACGTAAGTGGTGGACGGCTACTGTGTGAGAAGTTCTTTTCGATCTGCTTGGCCAGCGTCCAGAAAGACCGACTGTCATTGCGCTGCGACATTACCCTGTGCCTAACTTTTTATCGTGCTGGTTTTTGGCATTGCGAACCGCTTCGTTATATTTGTTTCTGGACTCGACGTCGGATTGTCTATTCTCAACAGTGGGGTTTTGTAAGAAGGTTCTGTGTGCCTTGATCTTCTGCTGGCGAGCAGTGTCACACGATTTGTTGAACCAGCCGTTGGATCCTGGTTTAGGCACTTTCACTGTGTAAGAAGGGATGTATTCCTCCATTCCGACCTGGACAATTTCGCTTATCGAAGAACAGACAGCCGACGCATCTGCGTCAGTGAAACAGACATCTCTCCAAGGAAAACTAGAGAAAGAATCTCTAAGCCCCTCCCAGTCGGCATGTCCGTAATGCCAAGTTTTGCGACCTGTACGAGTTTCTGCTGCCACAGCAGGTTCTGACCGAAACCTAACCTCCACAACACCATGGTCTGAGTTACCAAGAGGAGACATGACAGCAGTGCTCTAAGGGACAGGATGCGTGGTCAGAAAGAGATCCAGCAGGCTACTGGCGTGTGACGAGACGCCTTGGAAAAAAGAAGGGTTCGTTGCCAGCTGGGTCAGCCCTTGGTAAGATCGAACGTTACGACTGCACGACCTGCTGCATCGGTCTTGTTTGAGCCCAACCAAAGCTCATTATGGGCATTGAAATCACCGAGAAGAACTATCTCTGAAGCGGGGTGATTGATCGGCGAGGTATTCGAGTAGGTCATCCCAGTTATGGTCCGAGGTAGAGCGATAAAGGCAGCAAATAAATTTAGGTGATGTTTTGGAGTTGAAGCGAAGCCACAGAATGTCCTTCCGGATGAGTCCAGAGAAACATCTCTGGAGCAGGAAAGACTGCTGCGGACAAAGCCACAACTCCCCCGTTCTTTCTCAGATTGGAGTGCACCTCGTAGTTTGGGAAGTTAAGATGCTTAATCGGTGCAGACTCTGAGATTTTTGTCCCCGACAAGAAAAGCACGGCAAGACGATTGGATTGCAGGTAGTGATGAAAGGCATCAATGTTGCTGTTAATCCCGCAGATGTTCGAAAAACAAATTTTATCTTCGATGTTGTTCCCTCGAGCCCACCCTCCAGCCGGACATTCCGAGAGTGGAGTTAGTTTACGTCCGGAGTTTTGGGAGATAACCGACAACATAGCTTAGGTGAGGAAACATGCGGACATTTATAAGACACCCTGGGAAAAGCTAGCGGGAGGTACCGCCTCGGTCGACTGGCCCTTGTCTACCACCTACTTTTTACGTGTTAGTGATATTAAATAGACCTGAAGTGGCCCGTTGGCGGACTTGTACCGCCTCCCGGGAATCGATACTGAGGTATTCCTTAACGTGTGTACAATCACTTGAACGGGAAGAAGTTGTATACTGTATACAACTTCCGGAACAAGCATTTGCCACGGCCCCGCATGGTAGGAAGGGAATCATAACAAACAATTAAAAAACTATTCGGTACGTGTTTATTTTTCTTTATTTATTGAAAACCATCACGCATCACTGAAAGGTCATTAAAACCATTTTTTTTTTAAAAATATCGAAGTCAACACCCGTACGCACGTCACTGTTAAAGCTAAAAATTATTTTTGCATTGAAAAATGTGCAACTTTATTAACTTTCACTATGTACTAAATATCAGTGAAATATCTGAAGCGGTTCTGAAAATATTAATTAATTTCCATTTTATTTCCTAAAACTTCAACGCCTCGAGTTTTTGCAAGAAAACATTTTTGGACCATAGTTTATAAAGCAAACTAACATTAATTTTGCATGTAGATTGACACCCTTAAATATTCGCATTTCATTAAGGAACACCCTGTATAATGTGCCTTTTTTTGTATTTATGGAAAAAGTAAAGGGGGTCATGAAAATATAATTTATAGTCCGGGGAGCCTCAACAAAAGAAAGGTTGGGAAACCCTGCTTTAGAACATCAACTAAAAAAAAAAACTACACGTTTGTCACTCCGTCAAACATATTTTTTCTTTTTAGAATCTTTAGTAACTTGGTCGAGTATCAAACACCACCTATGCGACGTAACTTAGGCCTTAAAGGTAAATGGGAAGGCAGAAATAAAACCATGGTTAAAATCAATTCGTCTTTAATCGGTAAAAAAAAATTTCGAATATTTACAATTCAAATCCGAACAAATCAGTATAAAATAAATATAAAATCACCTACATATAATCACTATTCTACCCTTAAGTAGCTTCATTAGCACATACCATATCATATTATTCCGATAAATGCCTTTTAGTACGTCATTAACTGAAAACAAAAATATCACTTGGCTATAAATTGAAGATCTTAAACAATGTTTTTTGCAAACAATGACTGATTAAAAAATTCCAGAAATACAATTTCTCCTAGTAAGCTTAACGCATGTATATTACAAAAAAATTACATTACATTACAAATCAACTAAAATATATATCTAGTGACCTCTTTGACACATTTATAGGACATCTAAAAATTCAGTAGGACAAGCTATAAAGCCACATATAAATACATCACTTAATGTAAGTGAGAATCAAAGATAAAAAATAAAATCGCTCCTATTACCAGCATAACGACTATAAACTCATTTCCAGTAATTTTAATTCCTACTTTTTATTACGAATACTGCCAATTACGGGCTTAGAATGTAACGTTGCTTTGTAATTGATTTTTTAAGTATCGTATGAATAAGCATAATTTATTTTCTAATGCAGACATTTTTAGATATTTAAGCAAATTTATAGTCATTACACCAAGAACATACGCATACAACACTGTCACTCTATCTCCTAAAAGCCCTCTTAATCTTGAGATCACTTATAGTGAATTCGCTTAAGATAACTTCATGAAAATACTTTTTTCTCGAAAAGCTAAGAAGTTACTATTCTATCACCATGAAAAATGAAGTATACGAAGTCAATTTGTCAACTATGCCTCGAATATTTTTGTCTTTGCTACTGTGAATTATCAAAATATATTTTATAAATTGTCGTCAAATAAAACTTGTCACGAAATGCGGCTGAGGAGACATCGCAACATTGCATCCATTGCATCCATTCAAAACAATCCTTTCATTCATTTATGTTTCTTACAGTCACCCTTATCACTCCTATCATGGCTTCGCAGGAAGAAAAACGTCGTCTTGAAATTCAGATACTGAATGACCACCATACAGCTAAACAAAAACGAAAAGCCGACAGGGAGTACGATGAGTCGCAGGTAATACGACAACAGGAACATTTGTAAGATCACGAGAGCCATAGCTGAATAGACAGCACATGTCAAAGCCAATGTAGATTCCAAATTCCGCCTGAAGATTTGGTAGAACCTCAGTATCGCGTCTGGTAGATCTTTCACGCTTTGTTGAACGTTCACAGCCAGCTTCTTGGTTACATTTATCAAGTAGGCTAGGTAAAACCTACACAAAATGGCGTCAAAGTAAAGAAGAGTCTTGTCCGCAGACAATTGAAGAGTTGGTTGAGAAGTTTTCAGCAAACCCAATAGTGCGGGCAAGATGAGGTATTGCTGGGAGCAGATCATCGAGTTGAATCTTTTTATTTTTTCTATCGAAGAGGTTCTGACCAGACGTTTCTCATCTGTTTTCAGCATGTTGTTTTTTGTTGAAGGTGCGACCTTCGCGTCATTGCTGGACACGACGCTCGACATCTTTGGTATTTATCTGGAACAAAGAAACACTATGAATAGTTAAATATAGTTAGATAAATGAGTGCATGATCGACTGACTGTACAACCTTGCATATTTTGGATTAATGGCAACATTTGCAATGAACAAGGTGAGAATGCACTACCTTGAAAAAGTATCTGCCTCCGTTGTCCTGTGCCGAGTGCCCGATTAAAAAAAGAGTAAGTTTGCAACTGCACGCATGCGCAGATCGCGCGCTAGTTCTATCTCTCTTACTCCCCTACTGTTACCCCCTATACAAGAATTTAACAATCCTAGCGGAAATCTGTTATCAAATTATTGCAATGTCGTCGGTCCTTGATACGTGTCCCAAGTTTCAAATTAGTCAAACTTCTGTTGTTTTACACGCGCTCTGACACAGAAAGAACTTGAAGCGGAGGCGCAAAAATTATTTCTAACCGCTTTAGGTCAAGAACTTATTAAGGACCATTTGACTCGCTGAGCTCAGCATGTTTACCGAGAGAACGTCATAGTGTCATTTTTAAAGTTTCCGGACTTCAGGAACCAGTAGAAGGTGTAAAATATGGCCATATTCTAAAAATCAAAAGAAAGAAAGCTCATCGTGCGATAAATGTCGAGAATTTATTTGCAAAAATCATGCCCGCACTAGGACGTTACGCATAAGTTGTGTTGAAAAGTAAGGTCAAAAACATGCTTGTCATTTTTTAGATACGAAATCTAAATCAATTTTTTTTATTTTAGGTAGCAGATATGATACCTAAAATTCACCACTGAATACAAGAAAACTGAAAATTTTTATAATTAATTTTTCTTATAATTTTAGAAAGTGCACATCTTTGTTAATTTCACTGGATACCGAAGTTTTCTTTTAATAAAGTTATAACTAACGATATTAGTTTTATTTTATAAAATTGAAAAACTAAATAACAACATAAAAACAACGTACAAAATTAGATTTTTTATTTGAAAAAAAAAACAATGGGGTCAAATTTGACCCTGCCATGGTATAAATGTTACGGTTTTTGGCCATGGCACTTAAGGGGTAAGGTGTTCTCACACTTAGAGGTGAAAACAATTCAAGAGAGATCATTTGTTTTAAATTGAACGGGGAATTCAAAAATAATTTTTATTTGGCAAAAAACCATTGGCGTACCATTTTTTTCTTAAAAAATATCGAAGTCAATACCCGTATGCACGCCACTGTTAAAGCTAAAAATTATTTTTGCATTGAATAATGTGCAACTTTATTAACTTTCACTACGTACTAAATATCAGTGAAATATCTGATGCGGTGCTGGAAATATTAATTAATTTACATTTTTTTCCTAAAACTTCAACATCCCGAGTTTTTGTAAGGAAACATGTTTGGACCACAGTTTATAAATCAAACTAACATTAATTTTTCATTTAGATTCACACCCTTAAATATTCGCATATCATTAAGGAACACCCTATATATATATTTTCTTTTAAAAGCCAATCAACTATAGCTATTTGGCGGTTTATCCAACTTAATATGGGATATACACTTTTTCCTGGAACATTGTGATATTAACCCCAAGACAGACCTTTTTTTTTAGGTCAAAGACATGCGGCACTAGTCCAAGTTAATGAGTCAAATTAGATTCTTACCTAGTCATAGTTATACTAAGTGACATATAAATCCGAACACCCCGTTTAAATGGTTTTATTTTAATAAAAGTTGGTGAACGTATTTATCTTACTGTAAATAACAAGTGAAAAAATTTCAACCTTATCAGTTGGTTTTTATACTGCTTTTTTTTAATTCACTAACGCTCTAAAAATGAATATTTCAGCCGCAGTAAAGAATCAACGTTGGCAGATTTTGGTTCTTGACATCCTTTACGATCGGTTACGATGCCTGGAGTACGGAGACCTGTACGATTTCGTCAACTTAGTGAGTTTGATAGGGGCCGTATAGTGGGACTTTCTTTTCGGGCAATTGCAGTTAGATTGCAAAGTGTAGACACTGTGGTTAGGTGTTGTCAGGCATGGCTTCGAGAAGGCCGTACGCAAAGAGCAAGGGGCACTGGACGCCGCCGTAGAACAACAGACCGTGAAGATCGCCACCTAAGATTATTGGCCTTAAGGGACCGTTTCTCCACTACCAGGTCCATTGCAAATGAATGGTTTGCAGAACACGGAAGACCTATTGGCATGCGAAGTGTTTACCGACGAATGAGAAGTTTTGGCTTGTTTTCATACCGGCCACACTGGGCCCCCCCTTCAACTCGAGAACACCGACGTAATCGCCTTGAGTGGTGCAGACAACGGTCACTCTGGGATCAGGAATGGAACAGTATTGTCTTTAGTGACGAGTCTCGATTTTGTTTAGGCATGCACGATGGTCGTGCCAGGGTTAGAAGGCGACGTGGTGAAAGGAGGAATCCACAGTTTTTTGTTGAAAGACATGTTCATCACACTGTTGGAGTTATGGTTTGAAGTGCTATAGCTTATGGTTCCAGGTCACCTTTAATCTTCATCAGAGGTAACATGAACGCGCAGCGTTATATCCACGAAGTTCTAGAACCCCATCTTTTACCCTATCTTGACACCCTGGCAGATCCAACTTTCCAACAAGATAATGCCCGACCACATGTTGCAAGAGTCACAATAGACTTCTTTCAACATAATGATGTCACATTGTTACCATGGCCACCAAGATCTCCCGACTTATCCCTAATTGAGCACGTGTGGGATGTCATGGGTAGGAGATTGCTCAATTTGCAACGTCCTCCTCAGACTCTAGAAGCACTTCGAGAGGAGTTGGTGGTTGCCTGGAATGAGATACCACAGGAGGACATTGACCACCTGATCAGAAGCATGCCTAGGCGCGTTGGAGAATGCGTAGCACATCAGAGTGCATCCACACATTATTGAAGGTCAAAGGGCTTTAAAGCAGTGCAATCATTTTGCTTCATTAAGTACTTATACAAAATTTTATTAAAATAAAACCATTTAAACTGGGTGTTCGGATTTATATGTCACTTAGTATATATGCTTGAAAATAATCAAAGTGAGGATATAACAGAACTTGCGCCTTTTATATCACCCGGTTAGTGAAAGTTCAAGAGCAATTGATTGGAATCGAACTCACTACAAATTATAAGAGTACAATCCTTGGACGTATTGTAAAATGTTTGAAAATTATACTTTTACTTTCATTGAGATTTTTGTAGAGTGGTGTATTAACACAAATTTGCATGCAAACCTTGTTAGAAGACGGACAATATTTATTTACGTATTTAAACTCTTTAATGGTTTGCAGCTCTTTTATGAGGTGATTTATCTCAAGGATATCTATCTCATAAAAAGTATGACGTTGAAGATGTGATTCCAACATATAATTATGTTTGAATGGGCAATCCTGTCGCCCAGTGACCACAAGATTGAAAAACGTCGACACAAAATTTCCTAGTTTGAAGACAATGACAAACGAATCGAAAACGTTGTCAGTGATCTCATTTTCAAAATCCCAAAGCTTTCTCGTGGACGCTATGGTCTTGAGCCGAAATCTCACCAAAATCCGGGCGGTATTTTGCGGTTTATAAATGGGCCAAGGATTACCGATTTTATTTTTTTTCAATTACAATACTTCCTCGCCGATTGGCGTTGGAAGTTTTTTTTAGCACTTGACGTTAATTTTACACCTGCTAAATGACCTCCAAAAAAACTTTTCAGTGAATCATGACGATCATTCTCACAAATAAGAGAAATACCGTCTATGTCGACTAACGTGTATGCTATTTATTTTAGGATATTTTATACAACGTGACATGATGAAAAGCGACTGAACCTATTCTACGCAAAAGGTTAACTAGAGGACATATTACCCATTCTTATAGATGTGTATCTGGCCTTTCAGTGAACACACTCAAGGCAGTTTGCAAGAGTAACGTAAATGTTGGAACAAATTTGTATAGCGAACGACGAATCTTAAAATGTAGGCCAAGATATTTCGTTCGTATTCAAATCTGTAGTAAATAGAAGCTGCGTATTTTACGTCCACCAACCTAAGGAATGTTTCATTATAATACGAAAAGTGTGGGATAGTGAGAAAAGACGAATTTCTCTAGAAGAAAATGAATTCATTTCATATCCACTCTAAAAGCTACAGCGCATGGAAGTCAAATAGATTGCCTTGGTAGTTACATACAGTAATGGACAAAAGTATACAGACAAATATGAATATTTACCTAAATACCTTTAGAAAACGAATTTTAATGAGGGACAAAAATATGTAGAAAAATTCTTTTCAACATTAGTTTAGTACAGTTTCGTGTCAGAAGAGGATTAGTTTGTGTTCATCAAGTATTATGGAATAAGTTGAGTGATTTTAAGACCATGCCGCGTGGTCCAGAAATTTATTTCGATGTGAAAACTAAGCTCATTGAGTTATACAAAGAAGCAGTTTGGGCAATATTGAACAAATATAAACAAAAAGGTATCTTGGAAGCCTCTAAGAGAAGTGGTCGGCCTATAAAACTAAATGCAAGATCAGTTAGATTAATAAAAGTAATTTCGTCCAAGATCCGTTAAAAACCCCAAGACAAATAAAAGCCGAAATCGAGACAAAAGGAATTGTCAGTGTTTCTACGAAAACTATAAGTAGAAGATTAAATGATTTGAGGTTATTTGCACGTTGCCCGAGTAAGAAGCCGCCAATCTCGAGGAAAAACCGTAAGGACCGATTACAACTTGCACGGTTGCATCTTGATTGGAGCTTCTGTGACTGGAAGAGGGTATGTTTCAGTGACAAATCCAAGTTCAATATGTTTGGATCAAATGGTGTTCATTACGTTAGACGACCTAGTGGACAAAGATTGAACCCCAAGTACACTTTGCCAACTGTCAAACATGGAGGCGGGTCTGTTATGGTTACTAAAGCATGTCATGTTACCCTATATGGAAGACAATATGCCCTTAAGATCAATCTTCCAGCAAGATAATGACACGAAGCACACTTCAAATCTCGCAAAGAAATTATTTCTGGATGAAAAAATACCAGTTCTCAAATGGCCTTCACAGTCTCCCGATATGAACCCCATTGAAAATCTATGGGAATACTTAGATAAGCAAATACGAGATAAAAATTATTCAAACAAGGATGAACTTTTTGCTGCTTTAGAGCAAAAGTGGGGACAGATTGATGAATCTTCGGTGATTGATAATAATGGTTATGCTACAAAATATTAGTTGGTTTTCTATAATTCAATGAACTTTGCTTCTTTTTTCTATAATTGTTTTGCTTTATCTATGTATTTGTATCCTTCATAGTTCCAATTTTTTCAATTAATTTCTTATTGAGGGGAGTCTAATGAATTAATTTATGTATGTGTATATTTATATATACAGGTTGGTGTATTAATATAACAAGTTAAAAAAGAAATACAGCACAATATTAATTTGTCTATACACTTTTGCCCATTACTGTATGTACTGGTGCAAAAATATTCAAGACCAGCGAAAATTTGGTTTGGTAGTATGACTTACCAGGGTCAGGTGTTTGAATAATCGAGACTTAAAAGATATGATTACGCAATTCCACAGAATTCTGTGACTCGGGAATATCAGCAAGCAAACCGAATGAATGAATGAATACTATGTTTTAACGTGAACATGACAGCCGAAGATTTCAAGATGGCGGCGAGTCTCCATTTTGAAATTTTACTTTAAATGAAGCTCCTCATGATTACTTTATAACCCAGAATATAAATTTATTATCTCTCAAAATGGCCGGTGAAAGTTGAGCGTGTTTGTACGAGCCCCTTCCCACTTCAGTTGGCCCAACTACTGAAATCTTAGTTTTTTCTTATCAAACACAAATAATATAAATGTAGCAGGGTGTTATAGGTTTAAAATATTAACAATGAATATTTTCATAATATATAGTAGAAAACCCTAACTTTATCACTCCCTAATCAAATTTGCAGCACAAAAATAACACATGTTGCAATTACAGCATATCAACCTATTATCATTTCAATGCAAAATAAGACTATAACGCATAGGTGGCTGTGAAAAATAAAAGCCATGAGAATTGTTTTTATTAATCACAGCTATCAGAATAAGTTTAAAATAGTTTTAAGGTTTTCAAAATGGGTAGAGGAAAGGTTATTAGTGAGAAAATTCGGTTATGCTTTGCAACTTTCTGAAAATTCATCTTTGTGAACAGTTTACGATTTTTAAGAATTTCGAAAATCTGCTTTCATCATATTCATAAACATTATGGAGCTCAACTTTGTTTCTTGACTCATGGAACGCTTGAAAATTGTCAAAGGTGGGTCCTTGGAAAGTACCGAGTCAATATACTAGCAACTATTTTTTTCCAAAAATTTTGATTAAACCAAAGACGATTTTAGGGTTTTGAAATGTTCGGCCCATGAAGCCCGGAACCTTGGATGAGAGTCAACGTTGCCTCATAGAAGTCCCAAAATATTCTGATACCTTTTGATATCGAAAAACTTCCAACAGCTATTGCAGTTGTAATCTAGAGAGTTGAAAATAGGAAGTATGCTATTATCACCTAGCCGAACAATGTAAGGCCTGAGGCCTCGAAGCATTGTTACGGCGGTAGCTACGAAGCTACTCGCCTGGTCAGTATTAAAAATATCGTCCCATCATTCATCAAGGAAACTCCAAAACCACCAATTTTATAAATACATTTCCAGAAATTAAGTTTTGTATTCTCTTGGTTGGTGCTGATCTTCAACGTTCCAAGTCGTCATATTAAGCTCGTCATATTGGAATTTCAGATTGTATTTAAAACGCTTAGCATGAAAAATGAACATGCCCACAAATGAAGCGAGAATGCTTTTCGAACTTCAGCAGAAAAATGTTCTATTTCTAGTTTGAAATACCATCTACCATGGGATTACAGAGCTTTTCTTTAAGCTGAGCTTACCTTTTCAAAATAGAGCTTTGTTGTTAAAGCTGCAAATTAGTGCTTACAGTTTTCATATTGCCGCATATTCATCTGACTGTAGCTATAGTCCTCGAACTAGTAGTTTAAATAAACGTTACAATTTCATTTCGGCAGCAAAAACGAGCCTAAAATTACAGCAAAATATACTAAGTGACATATAAATCCGAACACCCAGTTTAAATGGTTTTATTTTAATAAAAGTTGGTGAATGTATTTATCTTACTGTAAATAACAAGTGAAAACATTTTCAGCCTTATCAGTTGGACATTCCGGTTTTTATACTGTTTTTTTTTAATTCACTAACGCTCTAAAAATGAATATTTCAGCCGCAGTAAAGAATCAACGTTGGCGGATTTTGGTTCTGACATCCTTTACGATCGGTTACGATGCCTAGAGTACGGAGACCTAGTGAGTTTGTTAGGGGCCGTATAGTGGGACTTCGAGAAGCTGGACTTTCTTTTCGGGCAATTGCAGTTAGAGTGCAAAGAAGTGTAGACACTGTGGTTAGGTGTTGTCAGGCATGGCTTCGAGAAGGCCGTACGCAAAGAGCAAGGGGCACTGGACGCCGC